CTTTAGTTTTGTCTGAATGTTTTGCAATGGAGAAGTGCGAAACGAAAAAAAAAAAAAAAGAGCGAACACAGCAACAGTAACTAATAAAATCTAAATAATATAGTTTATTTCTTTGTACATTTGTGAACATTACATAACATTTGGATCCATGGAATAAACTGAAAATAGCCCAATTATTAATGTATTTATCTGTTTCCATAGAAACTCTTAGATCACTAATGACTTGTAGACGTGAATAAAGTGCATGACCATATAATTTGTTCCACTTTTCTCACCAAGACTGATTAAGACACAGCAGTTAACATAAAAAAGAAAGAGTACCAAAAAAAGGCTGTCCTTTAGGTAAGATCTGCTGTACCTTCTGACTTGGAAACAAACAGTTCTGCTTTCTGACCACCAACAAATTTTGGCTTTATCAGCACAGCAAAAATAATAGGACTTCCTGTGCGAAACTAGGAAATTTAGAAAAACATTATGGTAAATGATTGAAGTTTACGAAGATATCGGGAAGATGAGTAAAAATGGCCACTGGTGCCCAAGGAGGACTGATTTTCTTAAGATATGAATGAACTCTGGTGACACTTAGCACTGAATTTTTTTTTCTTTTTTTCTCCTATGTATTAGTTTCTTTAGTGTTGGAAACTGTGATTAACTGACTGTCTTGGAAAATGAGGTCATGGCCTTTATATAGGGGAGTAAGAGCAAGAAAAGCCTAGATTACACTTCTGCTCATATTTTGATAGTGGCCATTCTAGGGGGAGGGGAGGTACTCATCCAAGACTGCTGTGGTAAGCAGAGGGCCCAGGAAAGGGAAATAGGTGGGAAGGAGAAGGGAGTGGGAGGAGCCTTGAATCCTGTCCTTGCTCCTCAGTGAACAGACCAACTATGCCGGGGGAGGTGAGCTTTTCTGTATAAAGGATAAAGTAACTTAGTCTTCCCCAACAACAAGCAGGAAGCAGGGAAGGAATTGTGTCTTAGAAGGGTATCCACATCACCTCACAGGGCACATCTCACACATCATCCCTTTCTCAGGGCTTTGCCCATAGGGTTGCCAGATGGTTTAACCAAAAATACCGAATTACCCCCCCCCCAAAAAAAAACACTGTGAAAAAAATTGTTGAGCAAATAAAAAGGGGGAGGGAGGGACCAAAGTTGTTGAGCACAAAAAATTAAATAAATGAAAAATCAGCATGGCCCCTTTAAGAAGAGGGTTTATTGCTGGTGACAATTTTGTTTTTCTTTCCCGCCACAAGGCAAGCTCCTGCAGAACCAGGTAAGTGGTGGGGTAGGGGGGTGTCTGAGAAGGGGGGACCTGGCAGGGGTTTCAGGATTCCGGGGGGAGTCTGGGGGCCAGGCCCGGTTGCTGAGTGTCATAGGGTTGCCAGATGTCCGGTATTTTCACCTCCTGGCAGGGGGAAAAAAAATCAGAAGATACCAGATACCTAAAATGTCTGGTATTTTCTGAATTTTTTTACCGGACAGGAGGCAAAAATACGGTTCAATACTGGTCACCTGGCAACCCTATTTGCCCAAAGTCACAAGCTAGCTCTCAATCCATGGAAAAGATGCCTATGGCATGAGAAGTGGCTTTCCTATGCTGCCCTGTCTATGTGACTGAACCCATGCAGTAAACAGCTCAGACTGAAGCCCATTCAGTCCTCAGCCTTGCTGCCATGAAGGGTGCAAATTAGCACTAAATTTAGCAGTGGACTGGAGGGGGAAACTAGCTTACTAAGAACTGGGCTATCTAGAAACCTGACCTTGGTCCCATCAGGAAGTATTTATATTCTTCAGGGTAGAATGATCAGAAAAGGAAGCCCACATGTTTAATAGTCCCTCAGGCCAAAACCAATGAGTGTAGGCCATGCATGCTCTTTGCACTCAGAATCACAGCTTACAGAAAAGAAAAAAAAATTACAAAGCCCTTATCTAAACTGTAGTCCTCCAACACAGTTGACTCCATCTTTTCACTCTCAAGGACATTGTAACATGAATGTCACTAAACTGTGCACACGGCACAATTAAGCTGCAGCATTATTTTTCTCCCTGTCTCTCTCAGCTAGCTTGTGTGTAGGCGAGGAAAGGAGACTGAAAAAAATACTGCACAATTACTATCTGCCAAGTAGCTCTGAAGACATTCTATAGCGCTGAAGACAAGCTCTGCCATGCAAACTGATGAAAGAAGAAAAGAAACATTCCAAAGTTTAAATTGATTCCAGGGACTGCTGGCCAGGTGATGGATTATCCAGCAGTGAGTGACACAGCATTTCCAGACTAGCCTAAGCAAGGGCTAGGGCTTTGGATGAAGGAAGGGAAATTTACACTAATGAGTGAGGTCACTCCCTTTGCTGCTGCTGGGTAACGGACAGACACCAGAGGACTTCTGCCATAAAGAGATCTTTAATGACATTCCTTCATTAGGAAAGTAGGGCTCAGCCTGTGGTCAGGGAGTTTACAGGGAACAAAACCAGGCCCAATGTATAGGTTTCATTTTGAAGCCACTGTAAAGGAAAATTCAAATGTATAAGAAGAAAAGGGAAAACAAAATCAGAGAAACAAAGTGTTTCCAGCAAATTTTGATAAAATGAAAATTGTTTCACAGTGATGTTTATCCAAATAATGCTTGATTGGAATCGGGAATTATTGAAATTCATTTGCAGCCATGATATAAAATGTAAGGGGATGTTGTTGCAGCTAACTTTCATATTTACTCTTACAGGTACATCAGTAATTAATCTACCTGTACTTCATGAAGCAAAATTACCCCCTCAATTTATCAACCCTAGTAGTCGGGATTGTGGGATACTTACTCATGTTGTTGAGCAGTTACTCAAAGAAGTCATTTGTGGGACTACGAAAGTAGTGTAGACTCTGCTGTTGTTTTGTCAAGAGAACTGGCTTCTGCCAGTATCCCACACTGCCTGCCTGGATTGCTGTGCACAGTATTTTGATCTCTGTTGCCCTGAAGGCATGTGTTCCTCTCCCCTTTCAAAGCTCCAGGAAGCATCGGACAAATGAGTGAGCTGTTCCTATTGGGGAACAAACAAAGAGCAAATCATTGGAATGTTCCTGTTCTGCCCTGCTATGAACGCAGTGACTGGCAGATTGCTACTGCAGGGGGAGGGCAAAAGAGACTGCTGTGCTGCTTTGACATTCCTCAGCACAGAGAGCTCACAAAGCTACGAGAGAATCCAAAGAAGTTCAGGGATCAGTTCTGCCTTCCTACAACACTGCACTGTGGGATGCTTACCCACATTGCTTTGCTCTGTCTGTCAACAGGGGAGCTAGCAATGTGGTCATGAAATGTCAACAATGGGAGGCAGAAAGAACGGTTTGATAGGTTTTCACTTCTGGTGACTTTTGCATGTCGCCAGCACTTTCATCGCTAAACCTTCCCAACATAGATATAACCTAAGAGCTGTGAAATACCCTGTAAAGTTTGTATCTAGCTGGATGCTGGTGGTAGGGAAATTGGAAAGGAATAAAGGACATGGATACTGCACTATGCTGAAGCCTTCTGAGCCTTATTTGGGAAGGCAAGCAGGCCTCAGGAAGGTTAGCTGGTTGTTCACTCCATTACATTGACTAACAGGTCAGTCTTGCCTGGAACAAAGGTCTACAATGTGTATAGTGGGATAGCAACAGACTATGTGATAACTACTTTTATGTCTCCATCTCATCTCAGATAATCCATCAGCAGTGGTTTGCTAGAAAATGGGCTGGGGAAGGTTTAAACCAGGCAAGAAAGAGTCAATATTGTTAGGTTAAGAAGCAACTAGATGCTACTGCAGAGATTATATTGACTACCTTGACTAATCATCCAAATCCATAACTTCGGGGTCTGGTTATACCAGCATCTATTTTAGATCACCAAGTAGCAGCTTGGCTGGCATTTTCCTCATATGTTATTGTCCAGACATATATGACTTTTACTTTCAGGTGAAAATCTTGCTATTATTATCCATGCCATTGCCTTGGCTATTTCACGATCAGATCACTGCAGTATTCTCTGAAAGGGGACATACCTTCAGGATATTTGGAAATTGAAAAGAATGAATGGTGTCGTGGCAGAAGCAGGTGACATCAGTGCCCTGCGCTCAGGGCCGGTTTTAGGCCAATTCCATTGATTCCTCCGAATCGGGCCCTGTGCCTAAGAGGGTCCCATGCCCTAAAGCCATGATCACCAACATCAGATCACTGCAGTATTCTCTGAAAGGGGACATACCTTCAGGATATTTGGAAATTGAAAAGAATGAATGGTGTCGTGGCAGAAGCAGGTGACATCAGTGCCCTGCGCTCAGGGCCGGTTTTAGGCCAATTCCATTGATTCCTCCGAATCGGGCCCTGTGCCTAAGAGGGTCCCATGCCCTAAAGCCATGATCACCAACCGGTCGATCGTAATTGACTGGTTGATCGCGAGGCGGGTTCGGCCCAGGGGCAGGCGCGACATGACTCTGCTCTGTAGCTGGGGATTTAAAGGGGCTGTAACTCTTTTTTTGTGTGCAGTTTTTCTTTTTGCTCAACATAAAATCCTGGCTGCTGGGGCTCCGTCAAAACTTCAAATTGGGCCCCCGCAGTTCCGAAAGCCAGCCCTGCCTGCTCTGGTTGCTGGTTAGATTCTACTCAGTGTTGACTCCCTCTCTTTCCATGCAATGTTGCTATAGTAGCAATCAACGGAAGTGCCTGAAATGGAGTTCTCAAGAGTTCTCTAAGCCCTTCCCTGTGAAGAACAGACCTTAGGAATTCCCTCCCCCATTCAGCCCAAATCTGTTGACTTTCAAAACATGATTGTATCCAAGCTTGAGGGAGGGAAGAAGTAAGAGGGAATGGAACAGACTCAGAAGGGTAATGGGGTGCTGTTTCTTGATTATCATCAGATATTGTAAGGTATTAAATCTGTTAGAATGCTTTTTATATGGTGAAGTTTGGCTATATTCATAGCATGCCCACAGAGAATTTAGACATATTGTTGCTAGTTGTAACTCTACTTTATTTCTTAGAATTCAGAGACAAAGCATGTTGCTCCCTAAAGCAGAGAAGTACAACTCAGCCCATCCATAGGTGGCGTGAATCGTGAGCAGGGGAAAGGTATGCCTCCCAAACAGCCCACCATGACCCCACACGTGCTACCCACCCTCCTGCTTGCTTTTCCCCTCTTGGCCCCAGACAGGGCAAGCTACTTGTCTTCAGGGAAGCATTCTGAGACTAGGGCAGCTGTGGCCAGACTGTGACATGGATTTGGGGAGGCTGGGAAGCAGAAGGGAGCAGCTGGAGGCACTGGGCTGCTAGTGCTTTTTGCTCACCCTGTGTTCATGGAGGTTGAGGGGCCATGCCTTGCCCCCTCCAGTGCTGGGGTGGGAGGTTCCATATGCCACTGGACTGTCTGCCTAGCACTTAGGGGCTGCAGTGTGGGAGAGGCTGGTGGCCAGTGGTGGGGCTCTGGGATCTAGTGGGGAAAGATGGTAGGAGGGACTGGCCCAGCTGAGGGCTAGGCTCCTTGAGTGGGGGGGGGGGGTTCACCCGCCCATGAAACCACCTAATTTTAGGTTGGCTTGCTATATAGACTGATTGAGAAGGGTTGATTCCCTATAGAGCCCCTTAGTCTGCAGGCCAGACCAAAAAACCCATGTCTCCACTTGCTGAAACCAGAGATTAATCTTCTGGCGTTTGATTTAGTGGGTCTAGTTAAGACCTGCTAAATTGAATGCTGAGGGCAGCTCTGGTCAGTGCCAATACTCCTCACAGTGTGAAGATGACCCCAAGCTAAGCTTAAGGTAAGCCAACTCCAGCTACATATTTTATTTAGCTGGAGTTGTGTACCTTAAGATGACCTTCTAAAACTAGTTTTCTATACACCACACATGGGCTTTTAAGGGATGGCAGGAAAGCTGGAGATTTGCATGAGTGCCTTTTTTGGTTTAAAATATATGTAAATAAAGTCAGAAAAAATGAAAAGAGTGAAAGCTTGAGTGAGCCAGAGAAAATGGGAGGAGTCACAGAAGAGCATGAGGATAGAGATATAGGCAGAGCTGATATATAGTGTTATAGCATAGTCTCACGGTAATTTATAGAGCGTAATGAGGCTACTGAGTTAACCTATCAGATTATCTACACCCCATCCAATGCCCAGTTTTTACTAAATTGTGGCATTCTTGGCAAGCCCTTCTGGTACTGGCAGAAAGTGGGAACATGTGCATTTGGGGGTAGGAGAGTCCAAAGACAGAGATTAAAGGAGGAAATTATCTATTTAAAATGTAAAGCTAAATCATTTTGCATTGACTCATTTCAGTCCATTCCCATTTGTCTCACTCCCTTAATCTTTTCCACGTCACTAGAGAGAGATTAGAAAAGTAAATCAGATATTTTGGGTTGGACTATGTAACTGAAGCTTGCCAAACAGCTTCAGACAAAAGCTTTTATAGGCATGCTTTACAAACAGAAATGCTGCAAATCCTATAAAGGATTTGTATTGTCATTTTTTTCTTTCCCTCCCCTTCCTCCTATCACTACACAGAAAAACACATTACATGTTTGTTTTCTTGGTAGCTATGGTTCTATTTGCAACACACCCACTGACCTCATGTGTTGTCTTGGCCTGGGAGGCTTTGGTACAAGCTTATTTTAAAATTATATGGCAAAGAGGCTGAACATCCTCAAAAGTATCTTTAAAATACGCATTTGTAAATGAAAAAGTGAAGAATTGCATCTCATGGGGATTACAAAAATGACCATATATTCATGACATTCCACAGCCCAGTGTAACCACAATGGAATCACTGTGCCATTTTCTACAACATTAAGTAAAATATGGAAATTTGGGAAGTTAGCTGTATTCTGCCATAACAAAACACACATTGTTCATTTAGTTTATTCCCTAAAGTCTCCCAACTGATCACTCTTCCTTTTACACATTTATTCATATGTATGCTGCACAACCTGCCTGTGTGTGTGTGTGTGCACGCGCGCGTGCTTTTTTGCTTTTTCCAGTGCATCCACAGGGATGAATTAGATAGACACTTACCTAAATGCTGCTCTCATTTGCAACAGTGCAACCCCACTGACTCTAAGAAAGTTTGGTTTTCCACACAAGCAGGAAAACCAGAATAAATTATTCAAAATGCCATCCTCTTTCTTTACTAATGATATGAAAATGTGCATGGCAGAACTGCTCTAGGGCACTTATGCAGAATGGAGAATGGTGGGCCACAATGTCCATAAGAGGGGTTGGGTTTCAGGAGCCCGTAAAAAGACCCACCCAGAATCACAGCACTTTTTCATTCTATGGCACAAATTGTGTGCATGGCTTTTCTCTGGATTCACAAAGAATGTGGTACTAAGCGATAATTTAATCGGTTTGGCAGATGACAGACAGCATGTGCATTCGTCTGAAAAAGTAAAGTGTGTCATCATTAATACACATCCTTTTTATGTCATCAACAGAAACACTCGCATGCAGCTGCATATTGGGTTGAAACACTTCATACTCAGATACCAAAAGCTCACCAAAAACTCCCTCATGCTGGAAGACCAAATAGTCCAATTATAAACTAATAACAATCCTGTGAATTTCATCCCACTGTACATATAAATTGCTAGCCATCTACTATCACCCTGCTTAGGTACCACAAATAGGTTCTATGTCAAGTTGCTACTGAAATACTCTTATGATGAATTACTAATATGCTATAATGAAAAATTGTTATCTTGGGCTCTCTTATGAATTTTTGAACAGGAAAGCTTTTCTCTACTCCCAGGAGGTCAAATGTAGCCATGCTGCCTTTTCTTTGCATTCACTCTCCTCTCTGTCATATTGGCAGGACTCGTTTACTCATTGTCTAAACCAATGGTGCACAACCTGTGGGTCGTGACCCCAAAGAGGATCACAGATATCTTCCTGGGGGGCCACCAAAGGCTGGGCCCAGCCCGCAGCCGCCCGGATCTAAGCACCGCACTGCTCAAATTATCTTGGGGGTCACGACACGAGGACAATAAAATATGGGGGTTGTGGTTGAAAAGAGGTTGTGCACCACTGGTCTAAACTGCTCGGTTCTCTTACATGAACATTTCTACAAATATTTTCATAAATATCACTGACTGTATTACTTTATATAATCAGTCTCAATAGCTATGCATTTGTACCCTTAAAATGTCCATCAAAACAGAAATTCAGTGACAAATGTGGGAGAGTGGGTTATAATCTGTTTCTAATTATCTATAATACACACAAATTTTAATTATTTTGGCTTTTCTGATAGGCTCGATTGTGCCTCTGCAGAAGGAGAAAAACGGTAGAGGGGAACTGTTTAAGCAAGAAAGGATCAGGATGGAAAGCGGGATTTGCAACACCTGTTCATTAGATAAGCAGTCCTGCACTGGCACTGTTACAGGGGACATAGTATCATTTTTTATATGAGCTTTTTAAAAAAGTGTATTTAGCTGTTTATGCCCATCATGGTGTTATGTGAATAGCGCTTGCAGTATATGCAGGAGATGAGAGATGCACATATTTGGGACTGCTGCCACTGTGGGCCTCACTGTCCTTCCCTTTGTTATACTCAAATGTCTGCATCTAAATCATTGTTGTCCTGGAGTAAATGGTGATGTTGGAAAGGGATCCCTGCCCCCTCCTCCCGCTGCTAGGTACATCTGCAGTTTAACTTCCACAGTTTGGCCCTAACTGACTCTGTGACATGGGGAGGGTTTTTTTTTGTCTTTTAAATAAAGAATGATTGATAAGAAGTTTCTTTCCAGGATCCAGTTAGATGGATGTTTGCAATCAAGGATTTCTTTCACATGGAAAGATTTTAATAGGCTATTTAGCTGAAATCACAAGATAAGTCTTTGAGAGACCGTACCTATGGGTGACCTTTGTGCAGAAAAATAAGCACCCACAAATAAGTCTTTTGTTATATTCTGAAGGACTCTGTCATCAAGGATGCAATCGGGAAGGGAGGAGAGGAAGGGGACATAGTATCATATTTTTATATGAGCTTTAAAAAAAAAGGGTATTTAACTGTGCCTACAGTCACAGGCTATTGTTCTCCACAGTGAGTCTCAGATCCACACAGGGAAGAAATCCCATTCATCTTTATTGATTTCTTTAGGCCTTCGAGGGCTTTGTGAGAGAGAAGCTGGTGTTAATGTAGGACAAAACAAAATACAGGACTATGTAGCACTTTAAAGACTAACAAGATGGTTTATTAGATGAGGGAAGAAATCCCATTCATCTTTATTGATTTCTTTAGGCCTTCGAGGGCTTTGTGAGAGAGAAGCTGGTGTTAATGTAGGACAAAACAAAATACAGGACTATGTAGCACTTTAAAGACTAACAAGATGGTTTATTAGATGATGAGCTTTCGTGGGCCAGACCCACTGTCAGCCGACGGTCAGGGCAGTGTGTGTGTGTATGTTTCCGAGAAAAGGTTTAACGTCCGTGCCTTTACTGCTAGGACCGGGGTCCCATCGCAGAGGGTGGCCAGCAGGCCAACAGACGCCCCGTTATATAGGAAGAGCTTATTACATCTTAGATTTCAGCTGCTAGAACACAGGGGTTCCTTCGCAGTGGGCAGCCTTGGAGAAAGACTGAAAGATGCCCCAGTGGATCCTGTCACCTGGGAGTGACACAGATCCAAATGCCCAAGCTCTTCCTATAACTGTCCCTTTAGACCGGCTGAAGTTCTTTTAAATTGTGCTTGGTTCTGTTACAGCAACTGAAGGAGGCAGGTTAAAGCTTAAACAGTTACAGGTTTATTGAGGAAGCTTATAAATCATATGGTTGCAATGGCTATTGTTCTATTTCTTAACTATTAGCAAAATATAGGTCTTAAAAATGGTTACAAAGAAGATAAAGATAGAAAAATAGAAATAATGGTACCAAGTAACAGCTTACTCTTTCTATGTGTACACTTAAGACAGAGGACCACATCCAGGTACAATTTTTACCCCCTTCTGTGCCTCTCGACTCCAGCATGTCAGGCCAGGGCCGGTCCCTCAATTCCTAGGAAAGACGAAAATACGAGGTGGGCGTCCCCATAGAACCTCGGGAGGTCAAACACCTAACCCGACCAGCAGGTAGAGGGTAGAATGACACTCAAAGTGAGTGTATGCTGGGCCCATCTTTTATAATCATGGGGTCACGTATTTCTCTTTCTTATCTTAATTGCCAATTGATGCTGGTCTGTCTGCTGTGAGACCAGTTCTTACAAGGGAGTTGTGAACTTAATTTACACTTGTAAGAGAGATTTGAGGTGATTAAATTTTGAAGTACAGGACATTGTTTTCTCAGTGGGAAATTCCTCTTCCTGGGACTGTGTGTGTTCGAATCAACATAGAGGCCAGCCGCAGCCTCGAGGCCAGCTTATTGACTTAGCTGCTCTCTATCCACATATCTGTGTTTCAGCTTCTCAGGATCAGATGAGCCAGCATAGACTATGCTGATATTATTGCTCCTTCTCTGCCCTGTGCTTCAGAGAGGCAAATAAGATGGATAATATAGGGGTTAGTCTGTCTGGTCACAGCTGTTCATAACATTCTAGCTCTGGGAGGAAGTGGGGATAGCAGGGATGGAGCGGAAGTACTGGGAGGAAGGGGGAGGAGTAGTCAGTGTGAGGCTCTTGGTGCCCCATTGCATGAGAGGCACACGCACCTGCATCCTACTTCAGAAGACATTCAAATCTGCACTTGAAAGAGAATCCTCTGAACTGGCATTTATGCTAAAATTCGACACTCTCCGCGGAGGCCTGAACAAAGACTCCAGCTATCTTCCCATTACAAAGATAGCTTTCCTAATTATCACCTCTAACACTATTAACTCACAGACATCTACCCTTCCCCACCTCTAATATCATTAACTCACAGGCATT